ACAAAGCAGGGGCAGGATGGTTCAGTTCTAGAGCAGCCAAGGACCAAGAGAATTTCTGTAAAAATCCAGATAGAAAACATTTTAGGCTTTGCAAGCCATATGATCTGTGTCTTAACTACTCAGCTATTGTAGTGCAAAAGCAGATAGACAATACAGAAGTGAATAGGTAAAACCATTTTTACAAAAACAGGCGCCACTGGATGGGATTTGGCTTGTGGGCATTTGTTTACCAACCCCTGAAACTGTCCATTATGTGAATCTTCATGTATTTATCACTCCTGGGGATCCCTTGTCCCCCCAGTACCCTAGCATTGAGCTAATAGCCCCCCAAAGATGTCCATGACCCCATCCCAGAAATCTATGAATATTGCCTTACATGGCAAAAGGGACTTAGCACATTGAACAACATTAAGGCCCCTGAGATGGGGGGTTTTCCTGGATTGTTCAGATAAGTTCTAAGGGTACTCACAAGGCACTTGTAAGACAAAGGCCCCAGTGAGTGGAGATCACAGTGAGTGGCAGGAGATGTGACAACAGAAGCAAGAGGCGTCAATGGCTGTTTGGAGCTGTGTTCAAGTATATTTTTTAAAAAATTCTTAAGTAACAGAAAGAAGCGAGAGGTTGAAGCGATGCAGGGAAGCAGCCACAAGCCAAGGACATGGATGGCCTCTACAAGTGCAGAAGGCAAAGCAACGAATTCTGCCTGGAAGCCCCTGAAAGAAATGCAGCCCTGGAAACCCATTTTAGACTTCTGACTGCAAAGCTGTGAGAGAATAACATGTGTGGTGCTTTAAGCCACCAGATTCATGGTAATCTGTTAAAGCAGCAATAGGAGACAAACATAGGCCTCACTTCTGGATTGAGTCTTGCTTGGATTCAAATCTTGGCACTACCACTTGCTTCGTTCATGAAATGGAGGTGATATCAAAAGGCCTTGCCTCATGGGGTAATGGAAGGAGTTAAATGAAACAATGCAGGCCGGGCACAGTGGCTCATGCCTGTAATCCCAGCACTTTGGGAGGTCGAGGTGGGCAGATCACCTGAGGTTGGGAGTTCAACACCAGCCTGGCCAACATGGCGAAACCCCATCTCTACTAAAAAATACAAAAGTTAGCCAGGGATAGTGGCAGGGGCCTGTAACCCCAGCTACTAAGGAGGCTGAGGCAGGGAAAATTGCTTGAACCCGGGAGGTGGAAGTTGCAGTGAGCCGAGATCACGTCACTGCACTCCAGCCTGAGCAACACAGTGAGACTCCATCTTGGAAAAAAAAAATAGAAAGAAATGAAATGCAGCACCCTTAGCCCAAAGCCCGTCTGGCGTATAATAAGCTCTCAGTTAGTGTTAGCAGTTCTCAGTAACATCTCATCTAATTGCCACTAAAGCTCTGTGAGCCCAGTGCTATTATTACCTCCATGTTACAAAGGAGGAAACATAATGAGATTAAGAAATTTACCCACGGTTGCATAGGCTGTAAGTGGCAGAGCAAGAGCCTAAACTGGGTCTCTGCCTTCAAGGTCCATGCTCGCCACCTCTCCTTGGCGTTGGGGTTGTAACAACAATTCCTCCATTGAATGCCAGCCACTTGGGCAGCGGCACAAGAACCAAATAGAATACAGTGCTCTGTGTGTGGGCAAAAGCTGCCAAGACTGGAAATCAAATAAATCTGTGTTTATTAGGGAAATGAAAACTGTAGCTGCCGTAGTGATCAGCGTTTGAGAGGTTACCAACCCTCTGACATCCACGAGCTGGCCGGCCCCAAGCAGCAAATCATGGAAGTCTGAATACTGTGTTTAGTCATTTTGGTTCTGGAATAATTGCTATTATCGTAAATGTTTTATAGCCCTCATTACAACTCACATTTAAATATCAGTGTAGTGATACATTAATAAGTCATCGCTGCCGGACTACTGCCGGATGCAGTTATAGTTGAGGCCCTGCTTATAATTGTACGTATATTCAGCTAAATTAGAGCCAGTCTGTGCACTCCACCTGATATTGAATGACTGGGCATGCTTGGAAAGAAGCCCCTTCTCTGCAAAGGCTTCTTGCTCTTTGAGAGATAAGAAGGATGCTCAAATTTTTCGTTTGGTGCTCAGTCAACAACCCTAACTTGGTTTCCCTTAAGGGTACAGCCCAGAACTCTGAAATGGACAGAAGGGGAAATGGAAGCATCATTTCTGCTCTGGAGGTATTCCTAATCCAGTGGAGAAGGGGAGAGGAGCATAGCCCTCACCCCCAGGAAGCTCCCTGCCAAGGCAGAGAGCCTGGTCTGCTGGCAGTGACAAATTCTTTGGTGTTATTTGATGAGATATTCTGAAGGCTCTCTGGATGGACAGAGGCAGGATAGATTATCCCCCACTAAGCATCTCCCCACATACACAGAAAACAGCTAAGTGGGTTCAACTTCATAAAATGCCAAGTACCTACATTGGTGAGTTAGTGAAGTTACAAAGTAGGCAGAAGCAGGCAATGCAAATTTTGCCTATTCGTTCTTCTTTTTTTTTTTGAGACAGAGTTTCACTCTTGTTACCCAGGCTGGAGTGCAATGGTGCAATCTCAGCTCACTGCAACCTCCGCCTCCTGGGCTCAGGCAATTCTCCTGCCTCAGCCTCCTGAGTAGCTGGGATTACAGGCACGGGCCACCATGCCCAGCTAATTTTTTGTATTTTTTTTTTAGTAGAGACGGGGTTTCACCATGTTGACCTGGATGGTCTCAATCTCTTGACCTTGTGATCCACCCACCTCGGCCTCCCAAAGTGCTGGGATTACAGGCATGAGCCACCGAGCCCGGCCCTATTCATTCTTCTTTACTGTGCCATATGCCTAACAGTGCCAGACACAGGGTAGGTGCATAGTAAATCTGGGAGGGAGGTAGGGAAGGAGGGAGGGAGAAAAAGAATTAGGTTCTGTGCCCTTCACCAAGCAGATAAGTAAATATGGGGGATTATAGGAATAGTCTGGGGCAAGGGAGGTATAGCCACTGGAACCCTGCTTTGGAGTGGGATCACAGGGGGCTGGAGAAGGAATCTTTACAGGTCCCCTTGGGTAGGATAGAGAGTATGGAGGCCACTGCATGCTGGGTAAACCTCTGCTTCTGTTTCCATGGGGGTTGCAGTAGAGGGGAATACAATAGGCCAGGCCAGGACTAGATTCTCTGCACCAATGTGAGTAACATATTAGCCTCTACTTTCGGAGCACATACTGCATGCTAAGCCTTTTACCAGCCTGTGAGGTAGGTACCATTACCTGTTTCCTCCGACACACAAAGAACCTGCAGAGAAGAGATGTTGATAACTTGCCCAAGGCCACAGAACTCAGAAGTAGTAGGATTTGATTTCAGCTGTGTACAGAGCAGGACACGAGGCTATAGTAATTCACCAGATAGCAAATGGTCCTGTCTTTGTAGACTTAGGATATAGGGGCATTTTAAGAGGAAGATAATGTGTTTAACAAAAGCCAAGGGCAAAAGATGTCTGGCTTAACCCATGAAGGCTTCCAAAGTAAGGGTCCAGTAGGGGCCCATGGATACCCAGGAGAGGGGAAGAGGAATTGGGTTGAGTAGGGGATGTCTGTTGCGGTTCTGGGAGGAGCGGAAAAAAGAAAGGCACAGGAACAAGGGGCCACCATGAGGGACTGTACCAAGGGCTGTATCCAACTCTTGCTCTTTGAGAGGTGCAGTGAGACAGTGTAGGGTCAGGGAACTGAGAGCTAGGTCTGACTTTCCACGTATTGTGTGTCTCTACCTGGGTAGTCACTGGACTAACTGATGCAAAAGGCCCTCCTGCTACATGATGTTTCTGTCTCTGCAGGTGGCTTCCTTAGCTGCCATGCTTTCCCTGAGCATCTGTAATAGGTTCCTCCAGAAGGGAAAACCAGGCGCTTGTCTATAGCCTGGCTTCCTTCTTCAACAGCCTCACTTCAGTCTGGTTTATTTATGGAGCTCACTCCTTTCTCTTTGCTTTTCCCTGCACAAAAGTTCCTGTCAGTGCTAACATGCACCGTAGGAGCTCTGTTTATGGTTGTGGTGATGCACCAGAAAGAGGAGACGCACAGAGCTCACGGACCTGCTTGAGATTAGATGTGCTGAAGGCCAGGAACAGTGGCTTACGCCTGTAATCACGGCACTTTGGGAGACTGAGAAGGTGGATCACCTGAGGTCAGGAGTTCAAGCCCAGCCTGGCCCACATGGTGAAATCCTGTCTCTACTAAAAATACAAAAATTAGCCAGGCACCTGTAATGCCAGTAACTTGAGAGGCTGAGGCAGGAGAATCACTTGAACCCGGGAGGCAGAGGTTGCAGTGAGCTGAGATCGTGCCACTGCACTCCAGCCTGAGCGACAAGAGCAAGAGCGAAATCCCATCTCCAAAAAAAAAAAGATCAGATGTGCTGAAAGAGTCAGAAGATGCCTAGATACTATAGAATCACCTATCCCCACAGCATCCTGTGCGAGGCGACACATGCAGTGGATGGGACGAGGAGAATGCAGTGAGGTAGTGCTGGGCTCAGGTCCCGTCTCCAGAGCATTGCCGTGATTGCTCTTGAAAAAGTTATTGTGCCTCTCCGTAGCTCTGCCTCCTCATCCATAATAGGATAACGTGTTTGTAGATTTGTGTGTTATTAAGCATATCTGTTTCCTTCCCTATAAACCAAGGACAGGAGTATGTAACTAGCATTGCAGACGTAAGAATTAGAGATGTTATAATGAAGCACTCCGTGCTTAGGAGGGTTTCAGGGACCGATACTCTTACTCAAGGTGGGTAGGCAAGTCCTGAGAGGGCAGCAGAGTGAAGGAGGGCTCCACCTGAATAAAGGAGTCTGGGCATGCTCTTCTCGTCTGGAGACCCATCCACCTGTCTTCAGCTGCTCCACTGGTCAGGCCATGATTCTTGACTCATGGTCTTGCAGTCACATCCATCCCCCACCCACCTCCTTCTACAAGCATCTTGGTGCCTCCCCCTGCTGCTCCCTGGCTGACCATCTCCCTTCTCTGTCTCCACAGCACTCTCAACAACAACAACATCAGTCGGATCCTGGTCACCAGCTTTAACCACATGCCGAAGATCCGAACTCTGTGAGTAAGAAGTCCGCGCATCTCTCCCACTTACTCCCTACCTCGTACCCAAAGGGCTGCACTCTAAGCTGCTGATAAAACCTATTGTGCTATGACTTGGCAGATGGTTCCTGGATTCAAATGCCTCCTTCTTCTGCTATTAACCAAGGGGTGCCTTGGCAAGTGAGGGTGGATGCAGAGACAGGTCATGGTGCCACCCGTGGTTCTGAACCACTGTTCTGCATCAGACAGACTCATTTCTCTTACCCTAGAACTGTGGGAATTCTTCCTGTATTGTCTGCATGTTTTCCTTCGTGATAGAAAAGATTATTAGTTTTACATTGTCACAGAACATATACAACCCTGACTGAATGATTCACCATTTGCTTAGCTAATGTCACATAACATCGGCAATTCTGTCACATTGCTGGTGGTTACAATGATTTTCCCCTTGGGAATGAATAGTGCAGGAGAACAAGCCCCTCCTCTCCACCTGCCCAGCCCCACCCACCACATTTCCCTGCTCACCTGCTCCCTGGATGATACTCTGATGTTAGAATGCAGTCATTCTCATACTTGGTTCTTTACCTTTAATGCCTTAGATGGGCTTAAGCTTCCAGTCTGGGTACTCAGGAAACAAATCTCCCCATCATGACCAATACCAAGAGCAGTTCTACTGCTCTTACTACCTGGGGAGTTCCCCTGTGCTCCCAGTCAGGAACCTCTTTGTAAGTTTCTCTGTAAGTAGACTCTGTCAGCCTTTCCAGAGTTTCACACTTGATGCCTGGCTTGTGTTGGCGGAGCTTTGCTGGTATTTGCATCTCACTAGTCAGAGAGAGCCAGCTCCCAAGGGTGTCAGCCAGAAACATTTAGGGCCAAGGCCAAGGGCTAGAATTCCTGGAGCCCCCTTTATTAGCTCTGTGTCCTCGGTTCCTCCTCTATAAATAGGAATGGTGGTGGGGATCAGATGAAATTGGATATTTAAAGTGCCTGGCAAGCGGTAGACAATAAATGATATTGATCATTACATTATTATCACACTATTAGAAATCTGGACTGAAAGTTCCAAGCAGCCATCTGATCTGTGCTCCCTGAGCAACACAGAATCCATGAGATTTGGAAATCCTTAAAGTAATGCTTCCCAAGTGGTATCCCTAGACCAGCAGCATCAATATCACCCAGAACATGTTAAAAAAGCAAGATTTCAGGCCCCACACCAGACATACCAGATCACAACCTCTTGGGGTGGCACCCAGCAATCTGGTTTTTAGAAGACCCCCGGGAGATTTTAAAGCTCATGAAGTTTGAGAACCACTGCGTTCATGAGAAGGCAACTTTATGTTTGGACGAAAATAAAACAAAGACCAAAGAAGCAATTTCTATAAAGAGGCAATACAGAGAACCCTAAGAAGAACACAGAGTCCGCAGTTAGTCAGGCCTGAGTTTAAATGGGAGCTCTGACACTTAACTTGGAGAAGTTTTTTCATTTCTTTACGCCTCAAGGAAAATGAGTTAATGAATGCTTTTCTCAAAGTTGCCATGAGGATGAGGTGCAGTTTGACATGTAAAGTGCCTGGTACATGGTGTGCACACAACAAATACTAGTTAATATAAGGAATAATAATCTTTGCTCCCATCTTTGCTTCCCAAATTCTTCCCTGGATCCCTCATACGATAGCATAACTCAGCCAAGAAAATCTGTTCTTTTCCCTCCCTCTTAAAATAGGATAGCGCAGTAATGGAATTTTAAGAAGCCGTTTGGTCTTCAAAGACCTCTTCAAAGTTCCCAGCAAACCACAAATGAGCTGGCAAAGAGTGGGGCCCAGGGCTTCTGGGCAAGAAGGCGAGAGTGCACCTCAGGGTGCTGGGCTTGCATTACCCCAGACAAGTGGGTTGCATCGAAGAAAAATGACTCTCACCTGCAGGAATCAGCCGTCCAGCGCCTGTGAGCTGTTCCTGTGATTTATCCTTCCCTTCTTTGTTATTTTCAGTTTAGGAGCAGCAATAAGAGAAGCTGAGCTTGTTCCATGGGAGTTGGGGGGACAGGGTTAGGCCTGGATCTGGGGTGCTTTGTTTGGGCTGCAGTAGGGTGGGGGAAGAGAACAGGAGGGTTTTTTTCTACTGGTTTCTGTTGTCATTCTTCTCTGCCATCCTGAACATTCATCTGATGAGTTCAGATCAATCAATCAATCTCGTCTGTTCTCTTTGCTCCCTGCCTGCTGCCATTTTCTCTTTAGTTTAATTTCAGAGATGGCTCTGTACAGAACTCCCTGGAGACTTGAGCTGACTAATCCCCCTTCACTGTAATTAAAGTGTGTATGGGGTTGGGGGGGAGACGGCTGGTGGTGGTGGAGAAGAGGGGAAGAGGAGAGAGGAAGGAAGTCATAAATGGGATTTCTAAAGGAAAGCTTTTATACTGAATTCAGAAAGCCACATTTTATAGAAAATGAACACTGACCCTCTCTAAAAGGATTTGCTGGAAATTTAATTTAGCGTCTGTGGCTAAAAGGCACCTTTTATAAATTGGCATTTGTATTCATTCACCTTATGTTCTGTAGAGGTGGTTTCATCAACATGGAGTATGATGTGTCCATCAGCAAAAGATTGCAGAACAACATGCAGGACCCACCTAGCCACCTCGGTGCTTCAGTATCTAAATCAGAAACTGCAGCCTTGTCCAGGCAGGGCCAGGGACTGGGAGGAGAGTGAAGTCTGGAGCTAGTCTTCAGTGGTTTGCTTCATGCCAGGCCTTGTACTAAGCACTTCCCGTGAATCATTTCAATTCTCACAGCAGCCGTAGGAGGGAGGCACTGCTAATATCCCCATTTGACAGATGATCACACTGAGGCCCAAAGTTAAACTGTCACATAGTCAAAGTCAGAAAGCATGGAGCCAGTGTCAGCCTTGGGCATTTACCATCACAGCCTGAGCTCAGGCCATTCAGCAGGAACCAAGGCAGAAGAGCAGGTGCCAGGTGAGCAGAGGAGTGGGGATGAGAGCCTCCACACAGCCCAGGAGCCTATGGAGGCCACCCTCCCTTGTGTCATTGCCATCACACCTCACCAAAACTATTGAAAGTGATTAAAATCATGTCCTTTCTTACTCAAGAGGATTCGAACTTCCCCTGAAACTGCCTAAGCTCAAATTTCATGCTTAATATGATTATTTTTCTTTTGATATTACTATTTGGGATGATATTGCTTAACTTGATCTCCCAAACATGTCATGAAAGGCAAGAATTTACTCAGCTTGACTCTTTTGCTGCTTCTGGTGGATACAATTCTAACAAGAGGGAACAGTCTCTGTCCACCACCCTGGACTCCACTGCCCTGGGCTTTTGACGAGAGCCCTCTCGTGGCTCCAAATCAGTTTGGGTCACCTCTTTTCTCTGGTGCTCTTGGGAGGAGAAAAACTTCTTTGAAGATGGACAAAGGGATCGGAACCATCTACAGCAAGATTAAGGAGAGAGATAGCTTGGGGCCAGCCAGCCAGGAATGAGAAAGGATTACCTAATAGAATCTTCCAAAGGGGAAACCTCTGACATTTTTATTATCCCAGAAATTAATCAGCTCAGTAAGGATCTGACTTATCTAAACATCATTTTTGTTGTTCCATTGATCTCTTACCCTTGATCGGAACCGAGGGGAATTTGTTTGCATTGATCTGTGATCTGCCTCATGCACCCACGCTCCTTGGCTCATAGAGAATCCCTGCTGCCTCAGCTTCCATGCCTCACTGCCCAAGAGGACAACCACCTTTCCAAATAAAAGCCAAACGCTCATTAAAAGGTTCTGTTTCTCCTGACACACGAAAGAATGGCACCTCAGGCTGTGCACGCCCTTGCAGCCTGCTCTGTGTTCTGCTTTATCCCACAAAGAGAACTACTGTAGCCACGTTCCTTGGGCAACATTTATACCTGGCGGGGGCTTACTGGCCATGGAACTCCCCCATCCCCTGGCCTTTTCTTTCTACTTTTTAGGAAATTATAATCCGCTGAAAGTCCACTGCCAAGCCTCCTCTCTGTTCTTGGCACAAAGTGGTTGACACTTAATGAATAAACAGCTTTTGCTTTCCCTCCTAGAACTGAGGTCCTTCCCACCAGCTTAGGATTCGGGTTCACCAACCCCTTCCTGCCTACCTCACTTCTTTCCAGAGTCCGGGCTAAGAGGAAGCAGTGCATGCTTCAGCTCTGGGACTCTTAAGCTTTCAAACTCAAAGGGGAGAACTGCGTGGAACCCATTGTACTCATTGTCTCTTGGCCCTAGGAGCCTGTGAAAGTGGGTGCAACCCACTGGGAAATGCAAAAAGAAAATTACATCCAGATTAATCATTTTTGAAACAAAATCATAAAAGTCGTTTCCAAAATTGTTAGCAGAAAAAATTACATTTTATATGGGATAGAGGTTCATTTAATCTGATATGATGGCATCTGGGGGCCCCGAGGCAGCCGAGGCCCCAGTGGCCCAGGCCCATGCAGTGGCGGGAAGGCCCTGCTGGCATCCAGCAGGAGGTAGCTGCACTTGGCCAGTGTCTGGCAATGTGGACCTTACACTCTATGGAGCTTGGTCAAGAGCCCTTTAGCTCTCTCTATTCCAGGTGTGGAGGGGTCCTGAGCCTCTCCACAGGGCTGACACTCGTAATAACTAGCTTGACACAGAGTACTTGAAAGTCTTTAGATACTGCTAGCTGATTAGCATGTTCAGGATTTAGGCATTTAAAATGTACATCCGAAATCCAAGTACATGATAAGCTGATGTGATGAAAACTTACCCACTACCAACTTCTAATGACCTAGGGTTATAGGGAATGTGGAAACTGGGAACTCCTGATAGACAAACCTTGGGAAAGAACCTTTAGAAGTTCCTGGATAGCCTTAATTTCCCTCCCTGGTCACGGAAAGGAAGTTCAAGTCACTTAACCCGATGGGATTCCCCTCGGAAGTGAAATACACAGATCCCTCAAGGGATTCTTATCTACTCAGGAGCAGGAAATTCATCTGGAACCACAGCTATCAAAGGGAGAAAGCTGAAGAGTCCTAAAACTGGTTAGAAAATATGTCCCACTGTACCCGAATCAGTCAGAATAGCAAATACACCAGACAGAATTGAACATGGGAAGGAAAGCAAGGGCACTGTGGACAGATGGCTGTGGATTCCAGGAGTCTGGTGTGGACAACACCTTCTTTAAGTGGGAGGGTGGAAAGAAGGTACATCCTCCAAAACGTTCCCTTCTGTCTGCCCCCTGCTCACTCCAGCTAGTGCACACAAACTGTTAGGCCCACAAGCATTACATGCAGTGGGTTTATTAAAGGACATTTAGGGAGGGAATGAAGAACAACTCAGGTAGAGGCAACAGCATCTCAGCTACATGACACCGGAGACAGGGGCATTGAGATTGAGAATCATATTTCAAGCCACCTATAACTCATGCTGGTTGAAGTACTGAAATTTAGAAATAAACAGCCCCTTTGTAAGTTTGACTCGAATCAGGATGCCACTGTAATAATGTTACTCCCCTTCTCTTACGTGCTGTGGCTTGCTCGAGTGAAAGGAAAAGGGGGTGGACTTGCTATTAAGAAATGGGCAACTGCTCAGAAACCTGGAGGCATCCTTTGAATGTGACCTGGCAATAAACGGTTTGAGGGTCCCAGTTTATTGGTAGTGCAGAGGGAGGTGCTTTCCTGGGTGCCTGGGGATTTTCACACTGGAGAAAGGGGCGACAGGGGTTTTGGCCACTCTGTCTGGCCAGTGGAAGCTTCCCCATTCACTCTGTGACCATGCCTTCCCTCTGTCCTGCCCTCTCCCAGGCGCCTCCACTCCAACCACCTGTACTGCGACTGCCACCTGGCCTGGCTCTCAGATTGGCTGCGACAGCGACGGACAGTTGGCCAGTTCACACTCTGCATGGCTCCTGTTCACTTGAGGGGCTTCAATGTGGCAGATGTGCAGAAGAAGGAGTACGTATGCCCAGGTGAGGCTGCCCTACCTGCTCTCCCCTCCTGTGCTATGACCCACCTACCCAAGAGCTCCCACAACATCACCCTGACCTTGAACACACACCCTAGCCCAGAGCTTGGTGTGGAAGCAACCCTATAGGTCATCCTCAGTACTTGGTAGTCACTTAAAGGACTGTGATGTGCCTCAAAGGGTTTAAAAACAGAAACTCTTGTCATTGGTAAAGGGAAATGCTAAAGGAATTCGTGAACCACTTTTTCAGCCCCATAGTCCATTGATGCTAAGACACCGAACATTTGTTGAGCCACACGTAGAATGGAAGCAGGTATAATGGAGGTGTTCTAGCATCTGCTTAACATGTTCCTGCCATCCCACTGCTCATAGAAATTACAAGACAAGATAATGTAGGCTCTGGAGTCAGCTGCTTGGCTAGAAATCTTAGAATCTTAGCTCTGTCCCTTAGTAGTGTATGACTTTGGCAAGATACTGCTCATCCACAATGTGGAAATAATAATAGTTCATAACTCAAAGGACGGTTGGGAGGATTAATTGAAATAATGCACATAAAGCACTTAGCAGAATACACAGCACTTGGTAAAAGCTAAGTAAGTGGAGCTTAATTATTATAGTTTAGTGGGCCCACAAAATGTGCTGAGCAAACATGAGAGTTTGATCTGTGGGTCATCGAAATGTAATAGCAGCACAGATTGCCTACATAGCATAGAAAACAGAATGGTACGTCACTGAAGGCAGCTCAGATCTCTGGGGATGGGCGGTGGCTGAGTAACTCAGGAAAATCCTCCCAGGGGATGTAGCTTTTAAATATGGGTCCTGGCCAGGAGCAGTGGCTCACGCCTGTAATCTCAGCACTTTGGGAGGCCAAAGCGGGTGGATCACCTGAGGTCAGGAGTTTGAGACTGGCTTGGCCAATATGATGAAACCCCATCTCTACTGAAAATACAAAAATTAGCCAGGGATGATGGTGCATGCCTGTAATCCCAGCTACTCAGGAGGCTGAGACAGGAGAATCACTTGAACCTGGGAGGCAGAGGCTGCAGTGAGCCAAGATCACACCACTGACTCCAGCCTGGGCCACAAGAGTGAAACTCCATCTTAAAACAAAACAAAACCAAAAAACAGGCTTTTCATTTTGTTTTATTTTCTTGAGACAGATTTTCGCTCTTGTGGCCCAGGCTGGAGTGCAATGGCACAATCTCGGCTCATCACGACCTCCTTTTTTAGTAGAGACAGATTTCTCCATGTTGGTCAGTCGGGTCTCGAACTCCCAACCTCCAGTGATCTGCCCACCTCGGCCTCCCCGAGTGCTGAGATTACAGGCATGATCCACCATGTTCGACCCAGGGTCCTAAATTTTACTTTTTTTTTTTTTTTATCATTTCATTGACACCTTCCATTCTCACCAACTCTTCCTTTTTCTGTGATAAATAAGTAAAACTAATTCCTTGACTTTCTAAAGCAAAACAACAACAACAACAAAAAAAAAAAAAAACCATAAAACGTTCTGTTGAGAAGTTTCCCAAAGAGGTATTTTGATTTCAGGAACTCAGTCCTGGAACTGGGGCCCAGTGGCCTCTAAAGGCTGAGCCTGGGGAGTTGGCATGCAAGAGGGAACAAGGACCTCAGGGAGCAGAAGCACCATGGGGTCTGTGTTTCTCTCACCTTTCTAAACTGGTGCCCACCCTTCAGAACTAAGGGTGTACAGAGCCCAGCATGGGCTTTTGGACTCCTGTATGGCCAGAATCACAAACTGTCCGGATGCTTCTGCTCTTAGATCACACTTGGGATATTCAAGAATTTCCCTTGAATTCAGCTTCATCTCTGCCCCTTCCTCCTGTCATGTTGTTATTTCATCGCATTATTTATTATCTGAAAATATTTGAACACATCTCAAGCAGTACCTCAATAACTTCCTATAGACGCCCACTTAGAAATCACTTCCCATCAAACATATATAATAAAACCATTTATCACGCAGGCACCAAATTCAAATATAGTGACTATAATTACAGTAATTATTCGGTAAAGGGTGCAATATCGGCATAAGTGCCAGTGAAAGAAATAATTATAGAGTGTAGGAGTCACCCAAGAGCTGGTGAGAAAAACTAATTAGAATGATAAAACACATCATTACAGATGGGTGCCAGGTTTAATGTAGTGTATGACCACAAATGCCACTTTTGCCAGAAAGCACCTTCCTGTCAAAGGAGCAGCAAGATATTGCTCACCCAGCAGCAGTCAGGATCCAAAACCATGGGGGAAAGGTTGACCCTCCAATCTGAATGCCTCACTCATTCTCCTTTGGAAAGGTTAGGTCCAGCAGACAGGTTCATAGTTACGTGGGAGCACCTTGATCAATTTCTGTTTATCGGGATTCATCCCACTGCTTGTGATGGTCCCTGGAGCTTCTTAGTATAAAGCCAGGTGTCTTTTGAGGACATGAGAATTTAGTCCAAAGGCTCCAGATATTACTATGCTGTTAACCTCCACCCTCTCACCTGTAGTACAAATTAAGGGCAGGGAGGTGTTGAGACCCCTATGCGTGAGGGATTCGTTAGTGCGTTAGCAGGCTCCCATGGGTTACAAACTAGAATACAGTGAGCGCTCACTCTCTGAAAAGGTCAAAGTCAGATACGAGGGTCTGGGGGCCCTGGTGCATTGAACATCCATGAAGAATGAACTCCCATCGTCATTATTCAGGTGCATGTGGAACATGCCCTCCAAAAGCTTCTGTTCTTAGTTGGGTGCAAAAATAATTATTGTTTTTGTCATTATTTTCAAAGGCAAAAACTGCCAATATTTTTGCACCAAGCTAATGCCTCTTCAGCAATTATTAAATGCACTTTATGAAACTGTGATCAAACATTGAGAGGAAGCAGCATGGAGGAAGGTTCAGTCTGTGAATGTACAGTTAAAATGCAAGTGGTCAGTCTTTGAGGCCCTGAAGTGGGAGGTTAAGGAGAAGAGCTATCTTCAAGCACTGACTACGCTCCACATGCCACCACCAACAGTGCCAGTCCTGCCCCGATGCCAGCCCCGCAAGGCATCTGAAGGACACTATTGTGTATGGACCTGCTGTGGTGATTTTTTTTTTTTGAGACAGAGTTTTGCTCTTGTTGCCCAGGTTGGAGTGCAATGGCACTGTCTCTGCTCACTACAACCTCCGCCTCCTGGGTTCAAGCGATTCTCCTGCCTCAGCCTCCTGAGTAGCTGGGATTACAGACACCCACCACCATGTCCAGCTAATTTTTTATATTTTTAGTAGAGATGAGGTTTCACTATGTTGGCCAGACTGGTCTCCAACCTCTGACCTCAGGTGATCCACTTTCGGCTTCCTGAAGTGCTGGGATTATAGGTATGAGCCACTGCGCCCAGCCCTTTTAACTGTAAAAAACCCAAATCCCCCTCATTCAAGCTATTCACCTGATAACTCACAGAAGGAAAAATTCAGTCAAGAGCTGAGGAGAAGAACTTCTCTTACAAAACAGAGGTCATCCACTCAGGAGAGAAAGAGGCATCAGGGTACCAATTAAGCCATTCCCAAGTGTAGCTTCATCACCAGCAGTCCCCATCCAGGCAGCATAAGGAAAGCTCCCTGAGCCTTTAAGTGGTATCAAAAATTTCACAAAACACATGGCTTCAGAGACAGGAAAGAGTTTTATCTTGTTCAGCCTGTGAGGGCTCTGCCTGCCCAAGTCCCTGATATCTCCCTTTGAATTAAATCCGGCTGTCTAGAGCCCAGCTTCTTCCCCCCAGAAGCCCTGGATGTGGGCTCCGTATCACTCCAGCTAACCCAGACATTTGCTAGCAATGCACTTTGGCAAAATTCATCTCCTCTGTCAACTGTACCTTTCCCATTGAAGGCATTTATTTTTTTCCTCTGGGGAGACTATTGGGAATTTTTCACAAGGGTGGGGAAATATATCTTTATTTTATTTTTTTATTAACTTTTTTCCCTATGTTAGACAACTTGGCTACTTGGCTCCCTTCAGCCACTGCAGAAAGGATTTCTGTGAACTTTTCTTGTTTCAAGAGGAAGGTTAGGGCCCTATGGCTAGAAGTGTCTGGTTGCTTATGGCCTGAACCAGACCAGAACTTTATCAAAGTTCATGATCATAGACCAGAGAAGTTCATGTTACGTGAGTTGCAAATTGTTGTTTTGTTTTTCATCCTCATCTAAAGTGTTTTTTTCAGGGCAGGGGAGGTTAAATTTTAGGATTTATTTTTCATGTGTTAATTTTCTGGTACCTTAATCTGGAAGAGTTTCTACCAGGTACAATTTATAATTCAAGGTTATTGGTTTAATATTTGACCTCCTGAATCAGTCATCTCTTTGCTTTGAATGTCTTTGAACTCATGGTTTGTCCATCTGTTTCACACTTACCTGCCCTTGGCCTTAAATGTGAGATATCCTTTCCTACAGACATCAATCTCATCTTCTAGTCATGAAGGGCCATGTCGTACACTTTTTCAGGTGCCCCAAATGCCTAGAACAAAGCTTGAACCTAATGGCCTCTCAATAAGCACGTCTTCATTTATTATTAAAAATAAAATATGCTTATCTCTCTGGAAACAAGAAACTCTCCTTTTTCATCTTCTTTTTTTTAATTGGGACTAGTTACTAAGTACAAAGATAATTAAGGTAAGCCATGGCCAGCCACCCATCTCCTTAGGAGGTTTTAATTAAAACACCATAATTGGACATTGCAGGAATGAGATTATTAGGTTTATTTAGCCATTCCCAAAATTATCATGCCTCTGGTATTTAAATCACGTTCATTTATATTCTCATCATAATTGCTCGAGTCCCATTGTCATCGCAGTCTGTTGTTGGCTTTTGAAAGGCCAGAGGCCAGTAAGGATGCTTAATTTGAATACTGGAATTAATTTATTTCCCCATGCTCACAAGGCCATTGGAGCTTTCGACTCTGTACTTTACTAGGTGAGGTTTTTTGTTGTTGTTCAGACTTTCAAAATACTCTGTAAATTTTTTTATTT